AAAGGTCAGAAACCTTTGCCTAGGGCAGAGAAATGGAACTTAAAGTTTATCTAAATCTAAGATGCTGAAGACAGCTATGAGGGAGTAAGAATGACCAATACTGTTTTTCCACTTATGTTACTGTGATATCTACATGTGAATGGAAATGAAAATGAGCTAAAAATCACTGAAACAAAGCCAAGCCTATTATGTTTATATATATATATAAAACATCCATATATATGAGGCCAGAATATAGACTGAAAACACAAGAACACTAGCAGAATATGAAAAAAAGTCCCATTTTCACAGTAGATCTTGACATAAGTATTTAATAAATTCGCATCAAAGACATGAAGATAGTTTAATGCTTTCTTTCTTTCTTTTCTTCTATTTATTTAGCTACTTATGTATTTTGGGGTTTTTTTGAGACAAGGTTTCTCTGTGTAGCCTTGAATGTCCTAGACTCACTTTGTAGACCAGGCTGGAGTCAACTCAGAGATCTGCCTGCCTATACCTCCCAAGTTCTGGGATTAAAGGTATGTGCCACCACCACCCGACATTTAACGCTTTTTTAATGTCCAAATGTACCCCAACTCTAAACATATCTGAGAGAGAAAGTAGGGTAAAACACATATTAAAAACAGTTGGTTTTAAATTTTGTTCTATTCTGTGAAAGTAGAATTTTGCTCTAGCTTCTATTCTCTGGGTAATGATCTATCAAAAGCCCTGTTGGACTAACCCAATATCCCAGGTTTTTGACTAAGCTAATATTCTAGTATACCCTGTACTCTGAAAGAAACCAATGCATATATTTTATGTAACCAGATAGATACAATAAATGAACTGGAAAAATGATTTGGGAAATGGTAGATGTTGCAACCCAATATAAATTCAGCATTCACAACTTATGGGAATCCATAAATAGATGTGTTGGCCCACAACACACAACACACACACAAGAGGGGCAAAGAATAGGTCTTGCGTGTGTGAATTCAACAAATGCTGAGGGCTTCATTCTAGAGGGCAATGGGCCAAACTAGAGGTTTGTGGACTCTCAAGCCAGAACTCCTGGGTTTGAATTTCCTTCTAAGACTTGTCAACTGAGTCACCCTTGGGCGGTTACTTTAGTCTTCACTGTTGTCTTTTTATTTATAAAATCTATTCTAACTTATTGGAAAAACTGAGTAAAGTAATATTTTCTTCTGAAGTATTTTTGTATTTATTTTGTTTCTGAACCCTTGTCTATGTGTATACATGGTGCCATGGCCCACGTTTGGAAGTCAGAGGACAACCTGAAAGAGTTGGCCTCTCTTTCCACTGGATGTGTTCCACCAATCAAACTCAGGTTGTTAGGTTTGGCAGCAACCACTCTAACTAGCTGAGCCATCCGGCCCGCTGGAGTGTTGTGTATAAATAGGTGATGGGCACATAATTTCCATATATGAAGTGTTAAACAAAGTTACATTAGATAAATAAAGGAGAGAGGAATCATGTTAAGCTAAGAAGTTACTCTGAAGTATGAAATATCATAAAGATCTCAACAAAGCTAAATACAAGAAATTCTGAAACAACGTTCTCTGAGTTCTCACTTATATGGGTGATAGGTTTCACTGTGCGTGTATGTGAGGAAGAGGGGTCATGGTGTGAGTGTGGGTGTGAGTGTGTGGGTGTGACCGCATAAATGGGTATGAGTCTATGAGTGTGTGAGAGTGTGTGTGTGAGACTGTGAGCAAGAGTGTATGTCAGAGTGTGAGTGTATATGAATGTGTATGTTGCTAGGACATAGTACCCTGTGAACACCATGCAAGCACTCTACAGCTAATCTGAACCCCAGCCTAAGCAAGTGCTGTTATCTGCTATGGGACTGTTTGAGATGCTTAGCACCAGCAAGAAATGGGGATGATGAGCCTTGAGGGAAGAGTGAACCTTTGATCAGAAGGTCCCTTACCAAGCTCCTGATGCTCTGAGCTTAGGATCTTCCCAGCACACAGAACAAGAGAAAACAAGCAAGGCCATTGTGAAGGCTTTTGGCTAGATTTCTGGAAACACTCCTTGTACCACAGGAATTCCCAAGTATTAGAATGGATCGCTAAGTGGGGCTCCAGAGTCGGCTCCCTTGGAGATCTTCCAAGGAGGAGAGTCTATCTTATTTGCCGACATGGGTTTAAAATCAAGGCTGAGTGAAGATTGATGGTGCCAACTCCCCCTCTGAAGGCACTTCCTAAGAACTGAAGTTTATATATTACCGATAGTCCCCTCTGATAGTCTGAAGAACACCTTTCTCTACCCCGGGAGGAGAAAAGGGCAACATTGTTTTACAACTGTGAGCTTGGAGTAAAACTTTAAAAAGGTTGAGATTAAATATAATATCCTTTTTCCTTCTCAGCTATTCCACTAAGCAAGCTACTCCCAAACATGGCTCAACTGGAACCTGGAGCCAGAACAGCGGTTCTTTTAAATGCAGGTTTCCTGACAGACATGCCATTTCTCCGGCAAACCACCGGACGTGTAAGCAAGGCAAGGGATGAAAAAGAGTTTAAAGAAAGGATAGCCCCCACACTAACTCTTACCAATACTAGATAATTGAAGGTAAATATTACCAAGAGCTAGGGAGGACAGGAAGGGCACGTTTATTTAATTGTGATTATTCCAAAAGCAATAGTAAATGCAATTTACTTTAGCACTGTGTAAAGTTGACTTTGAAAACAAAAATACACTCCCCCGAATAGAAACTCTTCAGTTATCTTACAATTCATTATTTTCCTATCAAATGTGCCTTTGACCCCACGGGAACATGGACCTTGGTCCTGCCAACCAGCATTGGATGACACTGGGTTTAAGGTAAAAAGTCCTCAGCTTGCACTCATTCTTGGCCCAAGTGAGTGTAGGGAGGTGGATGTATTTTCGGAATTCGGAGCTATTAGTAGTCTGTGATTTTTAAGGCAGTAGGGAAGACAAAAGATATACAACAGCCAAAACCCTCTGCAGCTAAACTACTTCTGAAGCATGTGCACAGCCACTGGGAATGTTCTCCAGCAAAGTAATTGGTGACTACAGAAATTATTTACAATGTGCTTCTGCACTCTGATAAGTCAGGCCCCCGGAAGGTGCTGAGGGTCAGTGCTAGTCTCCTGGGAGTCTCGTTACATACTAAAGAATACCGATGCAATTTAAAAATACTTAGCTGTTTTCTTCTTGGAGATATCTTATCTGAAATCACGTTGGGAAATATGTGTGTTTAAAAGACACAGTTTTAAAATGGCCAGATTAGAGAGGAGAAAACGAGTTCCTAGAAGGGATCCCTACTCCAAGCCTTTTAAAAGTTGAATTTCCTGAGATTTGGGGAGTTAAAAAGGTGAAGCTGATCCTTATCAATTAATTAAAAAGAATGAAATAACAGTAGACAAAGGGAATGGAGTGTTAAGAAACTTAAGGAGCTGCAGGCGCAGTCCCTTTCTAGTCATTGATTAACAAATTAGGGAGTGCTGGCGTGGGGTGGGCGAAATCCCAGAGACTAAAGAGTAGTCTTATAATTCACTACAGCTTCTGCAGCCTTCTTGACCCAGGGAACAGAACGCCTGACTGTGAATTGAAAAAAGCTCCTTCTACGTAAAGCGCCGCGCTGTTTGTAGTGTATGAGCATGGTTTCTTTTTCCCCCCTTTTGACAATTCCCAAATTGATAGAAATGTGTTAATGGTGATGTAAGTAAGGACCCTCATTCCTAGAGTTTGGAGATCGAACGTAATAAAGCAGTAATTCCACAACGTATTAAAACTAAGATGTTCTAAGATATTTGCAAGTGTTTCCCATCACTCCACCGGTTCTTTGGCAAGACGCGGTCTGGTGGCGATCCAGCGATCTGAGGTCACTTAGGACTCCAGCTACCCGGTTTGAGCAGCCCGCGCCCTCACATCATCTCCAGTCTTCCCTGGGCCTCTTTCAGCTCAGTTCCCACTCAGCTAAAGGATTATCTGTCCCCTACACGGTTCATTCACCGAGCCCCAAAGAAGCTCGGGTTCGGTTGGAGCTAAGAGCCGGAAAACACACACCCAGGCTTCAGCACTAGTTGGTGGAGCCCGAAGGGCCGCACACTCCGGCGGAGGGTGGGGGCTCGAGAGCTCGGGAGGAAGGAACGACTGGGATCGGGCGAGCTGCGGACCGAGAAATGCAGACCCCGGAGACGAACGCCCCCATCGGGTCACCCGCTTAAGTTAGCTCCGCCGCGTGCGCCCGCGGGCCGGAGCTCGAGACCGCGCCGGGTGGCCCGGTTGTCTCCCCAGCCCGAGTGACCAACCGCAATCGGGGAAGCACTGGGGCACCCTAACGGGAAAGCCCGCCCCAAATCTGGAGCAGACAAGACTGCGAAGCACCCCCCACCTCCCCCGCCGCTACAGCCCCGGGGCTCCAACATTCAGATCCTGGGGGCCGCGGCAACGTGTCCCCTTAGTGGCCGGTCCCCAGCCCAGGAGCCGGGCGTTCGGTCCCCGGGAAGGACCTGGAGAACGGAGAGATGGAGTAGAGGAACCTCCGCGTCTCTCCACCGCCCCCGCCGGCGCGAAGGCGGGAGTGGAGAAGGCGCCACTCAGACGGTGGCGCTGAGAGAACTGTGGCCGCAGTTCTCCCAAGTTTGCCCCGGCGAGGGGGATGCGGTGGGCGCCCCGCTCAGCTCTCTGCCTTCTCCAGCAGTCACCTCTCGACCGTCCCCAGCTCTACCGGCCCGGGCCGAGTCTAGGCCAGCCCCCGAGGTGGCCGGGCGCGGGAGCAGACGCAGAGAGCCAGGGAGGGGGCGAGGGTGCTCCCGCGTGTGTGCACACAATGAGGCGGCCGGCACGCACACCTTCCTCCCGCCGGAGAAACGGGACAAGCCTCAGCCGCCTGGATGCAGGGACGCGGGGTCCCTGGGAGCCACCCGCAGAAAGTGAGCACCAAGTGAGCAACAGGGGGGAGGGAGAGGGAGCCCCGCCGCCTCTCGGGGCTGCAGCGGGCCCCGGGCCCGCCCGCGCCCGCCCGCGCTTACCTGCGATCTCCTGGTAGGGGATGTCCGCTAGGCTGAATCCCTTGGCACCGTAAGCCTGGCGGACCTCGCTACAGCTCCGAGCCTTCACGTCCGCCGCGGCCGGGAGGGACAGCAGCAGCCCGGAGAGAGGAAGAATCACAGCCCGGATCCAAGAAGGCATGGTGCAACGTGCAAGTCCACCTCGGCAGTCCCCAGCTCCCTGTGCGCTCGCTCTTCACCTTGCCCCTGGAGCCGAAAGCCCGCCAGAGCCTGCGGCGCGCTCCTTAGCCGCTGCCCAGCGTCACCCCCTTCCGCCAGCCGAGGGGACGAGCCGCGCAGCTCTCTGGACTGCGCTCAGCAAACTTTTATAAGCCAGATGGAGGATGGCAAGCCAACCAGGGCTGGCTTGGGAATGCAGCCGGCTCGGCTAGCCGCTCGGGTAAAAAACGGTGCGAGAAAGGCGAGAGAGGAGGAGAAGGCAAAGAAATGTCTTTTTTTTTTCTTTTTTTAAAATACCACAGTGGGGGCGTTCAGAGCAGCGGTCCGAGTTCCGAGCCGCAGAGTCGTGGAGCGCTGCGAGCTCGCCTGGCCAGTGTGTGCGACGAAGGTGGGACCGCGCGCCGGCTCCCCCCGGAGGGAGATGGACAGGCCGGCGCGAGTGTGTGCTCGCGTGTTTGTGGGTGTGAGCGCTGGGCTCTCGGGGAGGAGTGTGCGTGGAGGTATGTGATGGAGATGTACGGGATCCAGGGGAAACCTCAGCTTCACACAGACTGGGGGAGCCTGTGCGAGTCTTCTTGAAATAGGAAGAGAGAAAAGCCTGGAGACTGACACTGGAGAAAGGAGGGAGGGAGGGAGAGAAACGTGCTACCCAGTGCACCGCCGAAATTCAGAGGCAGAGTCAGCCGCAAAACCTGGAACGGATCGCGAACCATTAGATAGGAGGGAAAAGATTAGAAACGCAAGGTCCCTATTTTCTCAATCACTTCACAGTCTCCATACCCATCCCAAATGCTACCTTTCCTGACATAAATAAACCACAATAAAATGAAAAAAGTGTTTGAGGCCAGTAACTGTGATTGCGCTATGTTTTTCGGGAGATAAAGAACATCGCATTTCCAATTGTTGCTCTTGCCACAGTGTAACTAACACAAAGCCAGGGAAGAGATAAACACAGAAAAGAAATCTGGGAGCGTAGCAGAGCCACCTCTCTCGGTGGCTAGCTGCTTTCTGCTTTTCTCGGTGTTTTTATTTTCTAAAAACAAGTAGTGAATGCACATATTAGAGAGCCATAGATCTTTACTCCCCTAAATCTCTGTCTCTGTCTCTCTCTGTCTCTCTGTCTCTTTCTCTCAGAGAGAGAGAGAGAGAGAGAGAGAGAGAGAGAGAGAGAGAGAGAGAGAGAGAGAGAGAGAGAGAGATTTAACCTACAAAACACTTGGTTCCTAAATCGCTAGGCTTGGGTTCTCAGTGTGTGGAGGTACAATAATGGCAGAAGGTAAGGCGTGAAGCAAAACACTGGGAAGGGCATGGTGTCTTAACCTTCTCTCATCAGATACTCTCAACACACTGACCTTATCCTTTTCTTCCAAGTTTTCAGAATTCTCAAACGGAGAACCTAGTCATTTTCTCCTTCCAGTTCTGTGAAATGGGATCAAAGAGGAGATTCCTGTTTAACTAATTTCCGTGGCCTTTCTTATGCTAATGAGCATGGAGATCCTGAAAACGACCAATCAGAAAGAAAAGAAGTAGAAATCCTGTTCAATAGAGTTGCCACAGGGACACTGTTTTCACAATTCTTGAGAAATCCCTGCAAGGTGAGGACTAGTTTTGTAGAATTTGACTGTAAACCTGCAGGAGGATGTTCTCCTGGTGGTTGGTAACCAGAAAGACTCCTGAAGTCTAAATCCTTCTGTCTGCCTCTGTCATGGGCACCTTCATCATCATCATCATCCTCATTCAGTCTATCTTCCTCTCCAGTAAGTCCTCCTGAACCCATCATCAGTAAGACTTGGAGGAGGATCTGGGTTTGTTTTAGAATTTAAACTGAAGCTGTACCTAGAGTGTGGCAGAGTGCCTGCCTCACACGAGGACTTGTGCCCTATCCCCTGGAACTCATACACATGCCAGTACCTACCTGTGAAACAAAGGAGGAGTCAGCTTCCTTAAGGAGCTTTAAGTCTACTGCAGTCCCTGTCTCAGAGAGGTGGGAAGGGGGCTGAAGAGATGGCTCAGCAGTTAAGAGCACATACTGTTCTTGTAGAGGACCAGAGTTTGGTTCTCAGCTCCCAAATCATGTGGCCCACAAACATCTGTAATTCCACTTCCAGAAATATGTGATCCCTCTGGCCTCTTGGGGCTCCTTCACTTACATGTGCACCCACACACAAACGCAAATTTAAAATGACAAAAATAAACCTTTTCTTTCAAGGAGGTAGACAGCAATTCTGAGGAGACACCAGAGGTTGTCTTCAGGATTCCACCTGCATGTGTGTTCTGGCAAACACATATGCGTGAAAAAAAGAGTTGAGATGGTTTGTGATTATTTAAAGACTGCCTCATCATTTGACATTTAACGAGCAATCCATACACCTATATAGCAGCAGGCTACTGTAGCCATTGTAGACCTGTTGGAAGGCTAATGCATGGGAAATTGCTTGTTCCCTCAAGCATAAATAGGTGAGCTTAAATTTACTGGGAAGGGTCAAACAGTTTGGCGTTGGTTTGTGAACTTTAGTCATGCCAAAGAATTAGGGAATTTGACTAGTCCACTTACTGTGTAATACTGCATTGTTTGAAGTAGGGTTAAAAAAAAACAAAGTTAGAATTCTATCTGGGGGCAACACCTTAATGAGGTGTTGAAATGAGCACATGGTATGATAGATAAATTCATAGAAAAGACCTGACTAGAAATAAGGGGGCACCAATGACTTAGAGCTTGAACCCCAGCCACCACGTTTATTCTGGGCACAGTAAGGAAAAAGAAGATTGAAGAATATTATACAGAGGAAGCAAAGACAGAAGCAAGAGAACTTCAGGAGGAGGTACCCATAATGCTCTGTCACCATGTAAAGGATTTAGGTATTTGAGACGTAAACTAGGAGGTTGGGAAATGAGAAGAATATGAGGATACGATTTGAAAAATGGATTTCTATGATATGGTGCTTGGCTTGGTAGACAAGAACAATAATTGAAATCCTGAGGTTGGTCCTGTTGGAAATACATGTTATGGGCACTAAGACTCCTGTTTCCAACCCACTTTCCCACCCTGGCTGGTTTTCAGAACCCATGGAGCCATAACATAAATGGAACGTTACAGACTTCAGGTTTTAGAGAAAACAATTTGGTCTTCAACAACCACAGGTGCAGGCAAATTGGGCAGCCTCTGTCAATCACAATGAGAAATGTGTGTGCAGGCCCTTTATTCACCCCAAGGAAAGATTCTCATTGGCCTAAGTCACTGTTGCCCATCCTTTTTCCTGTTCAGTTAAACAGTGTTGAGTTGGAGTGGATGAACCATTTCTGACCAAAATGATTTAATATGAAATTTCTAGGAACTATTTTCCTGATTAAAAAGCAAGAGGAATATGACAGCTGACTAGTTGAGAGAGTTTACTAGTCTTCCAGGAGATCCAAGTTTAGTTTTCAGCACTCATATCAGGTGGATCACTGGATCACAACTACCTGTAACTCTAGCTCCATGGAATCCAATGCCCTCTCCTAGCATTTGTGGGCCTACACATACACACTCAAGCACACAAAACGATGAAATAAAATTTGCTGGCTAATTTTATGTCAACTTGACACAGGCTAGAGTCATCTGAGAGGAGGGAACTTCAATTGAGAAAATGTCTCTGTAAGTTTGGTCTGTAGGCAAGCCTGCAGGGCCTTTTCTTAATTAGTGATAGAAGCAGGAGGGCCCAGCTCACAGTGGTCCTGTGTTCTATAAGAAAGCAGGCTGAGCAAGCCATGAAGAGCAAGCCAGGAAACAGCACCCCTCCATGGCCTCTGCATCAGCTCTTGTCTTCAGGGTCCTGCCCTGTTTGAGTTCCTGCCCCAAATGCTTTCAATGATGAACTGTTATATATGAGTGAACTGACTTCCTTCAATAATGAACGGTGATGTGAAAGTATAAGCCAAATAAACCCTCTCCTTCCAAGTTGATTTTGGCGGAAATACTCAAGGTTCCTGCTTTCCTATTTGAATCACCACTCCAGATCCAGACCTCTTCTTACATAGTCAATAAGCATCCTGCTGTTTATGTGTACTACCATTTGGGTTTTCTGCTTTTTCAAATGAAAGCAGTATAAACACAGACACCATTCAAAAATCTGAACAAGAGAAACTGAGGAAGAGACAAATATAAGAAAACAAATTGGAGGTAGCACTGTGGAATCCACGTCGGGAGATTTTCCAGCATGGAGCAAATTGCAGTGTACATCCAAGACAATGGTACAGGAAGATGACAAAGAGGTCTCCAGGTAACCCCAGAAGCATTAGTGTCATCCCACGGTGTGTGCCAGGCCACACAGAATCACGTGTAAAGTGGTCCGAAAGAAGATGGAAACATCAGGTACAAAGGCCAAGTGCTTTGACCATGAAGTCGGGATTTCTGTCAGTATTCAGGTGGGTTTTCCACAAGAAGCTTCTAGACTTTAGAGAAGCTGACACCGGATATCAAAGGAACTGAAATGCAATCTTATTTCCCCCAGTAGATTCATTTAAATTTTTCCTTCTTTTTTCTATACTACCCATGTTTTCTACAGGAAATTCAATTTTTAATAAGTAAAAAAGCATGGTTTTGAAATGAATGTCATACCTTTAACATGAGTGTATTTGATATAATCTCCAGAGCAAAATAAAATTCTTACCATTATCTCACAAATGTAAAACAAACAGCTATTAACATTTCTCTGTAGAAAACAAAACTCTAACCTATGACATTTTTTCTTGTAGCTTTTTAAGACTTGATGAAATTGTATTAGAATATCAAAAATTTTAAAAATACATTTTTAGAAACTGGGTTGGGTCAAAAGAAAAACAAAAAGCCACCATTATAAACTTTAAAATTGTTTTGCTCAGTTGTATTATCTCATGAATGAGAAACCGGTTGAATTTTAGCTTTTCTTTTTGTGTGTTTTAGATCTAAGTGGACAAATAAGTTCAAATGGAATCATAAAAAGCAAGGGAATGAACTGTGAGTGTGTCTATTCTACATCATAGAAATCAAAAGTGCTGAGTTAACCTGCCTCTTGAAAAGCAGATTTTGCAACGAAAACACCATGAGAGGCTTAGCAGTGGCTCTGCATTGCACACACAACGGAAGGTTGCTGGGTTACATGGGGAACAATAAGCAGAAAGAGTGAAAACGACATTTCATTTGATGATATACCAAACACAAAGAGTTCTAACAGGAGTGTTAAGTCTGTATCTAATGCTGGTAGACACCAGTGGAAACGACATCTTTGGTGTAGCCTAGAACCTGTGGGTTTCCTAGATCCAACGGGAGGGTCTCGACACCGAGGACAACGGATTCTTCTTGTCCTACCATGATCCTCTAAGACTCTGAAGGCAGATGTAGTTAGCTTGAGAGGGGAATCGTGTGATCTTCTTGATTCAAGTTTGCCTGATAGTCACGACAGGGTTTAGCCAAGAAGACTGAAAGAGCTGTAATTATTTAACATATACCAGAAACAAAGACAATGAGAGTATTTCATATATTCATAAGCACCACTCATATTTACTTGAAATATTACTATCAATCATCTAGAAGCTATAAGCAGGGAATATTTTTAGGTATCACAAAGATTTAAAACACTAGTTCCAATTTTCCATATTAATAAATGATCCAAGTATCTGCCCTCAATCAATTCTTCAGTGATTTTTATGCTTAGGATGTGTCGTAGGCTACTAAATCCATTTAAATATTAAACAACAAAATATTTATGCTTAAAAATGCTGTTAATACCACTATATGCCTTGAAATGATCTTGGCCAACGTGATACTTCCTTGAGTGTCTTTTTATACCATAATTTTTTTCATGAGTAAGGAAAGGTTTCCTTTTTTTGATGGCTCACAAT